CACAAAACCATCATCAGTTAATGAATCGAGGGGCACAAAAACCTAATGAAATGATTCTTGATGTTTGTGATTCTATTACTTCATGTTATCAGCAATGCCTGACCAGAATGGTCATCAGTTTGAAAAAAAGGCGTTGGCAAAAATAAAAAATCATTTCTGTAGATTTTTTTAAATTTTGAAGATGAACTATATGTTAATGTACACTGACTTTATAATCATTCAACATGTGTATATATATTTCTGGGATACTCTATATATGAAAGCTTTTTTTTCTGAAAGTTATGGTTTATAAATTTAATATTTTTATTGCTATTTATAATCAGATATTTCTAGTTAATACAGGATTAATAATAATTGTATATTACTTTACTGTCATGCCTTTCAAAATGTTTTTAAGCTATAAAAGAGTTTCTTTATATTAAATCTGACCCAGAGGTTCATTATGTAACATAGATAAAATCAAAGAAGTTGTGGGTAAAGCAGAGCCTTTAGTGATCCCCCCATTCCCTTTGCAAGGTAGTTTCTGAGGTTACCCCTCTCTGTACCCCAAGCTCCCTGGAGGTTCTTTAGGAGCCCACTGTTTTACAGGCCACAGATATCCTGAAAATTGGGGGCTGAGGGTGGGATCCTCACCATTTTCATCATGTGGATAAAGCAAAGCTCAGAGATCACTCTGACACAAAGTCTTCTGAACTTAAGCACAGTATCTTTTAATATTTTCATTTTTAGTTGGAAAGTATTTTAAAATGATATCTTGCCCCTTGCTATCTAAAGAAACTTTCTTAGTTGTTCTCAAGGGAGCCTGCACATAGAATGTGAACCATGGGTGACCTGGGTAACATGAAGCCCTGAGCCAAGCTTAATGCTCAGCTGGGTGGGTTGGCGGAAGGAGTGAGTGCAGCGTGAAAGTCAAGGTCTGATTTGCTTTCAGGGCCTGTGCTAGAAGGAAGTGCCATGCATTCATTTAGCAGTTCACGCAAGCACAAGTTATTATGCTAGGGATTACATATTATCAGCTTTTTCTTTAGATTTTTAAGAAAATATTTACAAATATATATATTTGGAATAATGGTATCAGAGAAAATATTAAAATTTCAACTCTTTTAAGAGTTTAAAGCTACTATTTTTAATATGTATTTTCATTTAACATTTCTTGCTTAGGTCTCTGATTTCTAAGTACATGCTAAACATGTTAATCCATCCAAAAGAGCTTGCTTATTAGACCCTTTTAGAATATGTGCTAATATTAAAAAATCCTGATTTATTGGCTTTTAACTTGTCAGGTTTAAGATTATCTGAATCTTTAGAAAAAGCAACTAATCTTATATAAGTTTTCAGTTATGCAAAATGGCCCACCTTGAAAACAATGTTTTCCTAAACCTCCCATTCTACCAGTGTCCTGATGGTAAATTCTTGGAGACTAGGGCAACTCTATTATTATTATTATTATTATTATTATTATTATTCTTTATTGATTAAAGTATTACATATGTCTCCTTTTTCCCCTATTGACCTCTTCCTGGCCACTCCCACCCCCCCAGCACATGCCCTCACCCCCCTAGTGAAATGTATTTTTGTTGATTTCAGAGAAGGAGGGAGAGAGAGAGAAACAGCAGCAATGAGATAATCTTTGATTGGCTGCCTCCTGCACGACCCACACTGGGAATCGAGTCCTCAACCTGGACATGTGCCCTGACCAGAATCAAATCGTGACCTCTGGTTCATAGGCCTTATTCTCAACCACTGAGCCATGCCTGTTGGGCCACTAGGGCAACTCTTGATGAATGCTCTGAGTTTTTAGATGTATAGCTCATCCTAATTTCCTTGTTTCCATCTGGTGGCAGCAGGCCTTGGTGCTTGGGTTGCATTCAGAATGAGAACTAGGTAGAAGGATCATCAAACCATCATGGACAATTTTGGGTCATATTGTTTGTAAATGTGTGGGCAAGAACAAGGTTGGGGACAGAAAAATGATGCAGCCTAATCAATCGGGTTACTAGGAAATGTTCCAAATAACTACTAAACTTTTTGGATTTAATGATAAGACAAAAAATGAGTGACCAGAGGACAGGCGGAGGTTTGCATCACAGGGATTTTATCTGTATCCCCCTGATTAGGCAACTGAAGTTTTGTGCTTTGCGATTCTTCTTGATGACATTGTTATATCCTTGCTCTCCCAAGAAAGGTGACTAATTCTCTGTTGGTTTTACGAAAGGAAACATGCAGAACAGAATGACTCACAATTACAGTCTTTCTTTTTTTTCAGACAAGAAAATTGGCTTATGTGTGTGACTCGATAAAACATTCAATTGAGAAGAAACCTTACTAATTGCATTCAGCGAAGTGAAATGCCCTCTGAATAAGACCATTTATTGGTTAAATCACATTATCAGCAGAGATATAAATCTGAATCATCTCGTGTTAATGTAATTCACTGACTTTTCTTTCATTCTTTTCAGTCTTTCCGTATCAGATCAGCTTTATGCATATGTACATACACAAAAAATTGTATAACTCAATGCATAAATAAAGTCAGGGCACTGTAAATTATTTTAATTAATTAGACACATTAACTGTGGATTCTTTTATTTTTTTAATGATAATGATGAAGTATTACTTTTCTTGCAAAACTTACCAACAGTAGACTAGGGTCCAATAGTTGGATTTCTTGATTATAATAAAAAAAGGGATATAGAAGCAGGATTATTCCTGGAGGTTTTATTAAAGGTAGCTTTTGTAGCCTCTGTTTGATAAAAAGGATAGATTTTTCCTACAAAGAAGATGCATCCTCCCCAAAAGCAAACAAAATCCTAGGTTTCTGTTCCTGTGGTAGCTTTAGTTCTTTTTGACACTGATTTTAGCTTTGAGATACAGGAGGTGGTGGTTGAGAAACGAATCTGAGTTGGGTGTTCCTCCTAAGTCCTTCTGTTGGAAAGTCCCATGGTATTGCTATTGCTTGTGTGGCCTTCTCTTTGATTGTGAGTTCTTTGAGGGAAGATACCACGTTATTTACCATTGTGACTTCAGTACCAGTAACTGGGATCACAAAGGAGCAGCTACATAAATGTTGATCAAAGGCAGAAATATACATACTGCTATGATGCAACCACTCACTACATTGCTTACAATTTAAAATTATTTTGTGAAATTCCATTTTGTAATTATCTTCAAAGAATAAATTCCTTCAGACTTTCCTCCAAGGTTGTAGAAGTCTACCCTTTCATGGTAGATTTGATTTTTGGAGGTAGGGTTATTTGAAACTAGATTTGAGTGAACAAAGTAGTTGCTTCTGCTGGGCATTTTTATTTTAAATGAAGCACAACAAAATAGATTTGTGTGTCTTTTTGAGGGTATGATGGATTCTGAAAACGGTTTCAAAAGAGACATTCCAAAAATGTTTTGATCAGTGGTTGCATCATTGAAATTATGTTTCCCTAAAGAACAACAATGAATAGTCATTTGGTTGTGTAGACTTTTTTTTTTAAATTTTGTTTTATTGCTTAAAATTGGTTGTGTAGGCTTTGAAGTCACAATAACCTTCCATTTGGTCATTCATATTCTGATGCCTACTCTTAAGTCTGTGCAAAGCTTCTAGTGTTATTTTCTATTCTTTTCTCTAAAACTTTCAGTGACTCTCCTTAGCTACAGAATAAATTCCAAAAGCTTTATGTTGGCATATAAAGCCACCCATTATTTGGCCTCAGTCTATATTTCCAAACTTATGCCTACTTTTCCCCCTTCATGTAACCTATACATCAATCAAATGGAAGCAGTCAGTCCCCATTTAAGAGCTGTACTTTCTTACAGTGTAGAATGATCATTCAATCCATATCATCATATATAAGCCCTGTTTCTACTTAAAGCTATACTTTGCCAGCTAGAATTCTCTCTTTTCTCTCACTTATATTATTAAATGTATAAGTTTTATGGCCCTTATCATTTCCACCTTGTTTTATAGCTTTTACATATTAAATACCGTATTTGACTCTATGCCATTTGAGCCCAAACAACAAATATTCTTGGGCCTTGACTCCTTCATGCCTTTCAGCCCAGTGCTTTGCATATAGCACAGCCTTAACAAATATTTATAGGGGTATGAGCATATAAGAACACATATATAAACTGATAGTACCAAATGGTTTGAGCACTTAAGAGTAAGGACTTTATGATATTGCCTCATATTTCTAAAGGGTATTGGAATTTGGAAATTTTTATTCATATAAAAATCTAATAGTTTTGCATGTGATTCAGTAATTCAGCATTGCAGAGTAAATTATTATAGGACCATGAATAATTGGGATACTCAGGAAATAGGGTGTTCTGAATAATTTAATTTTCTGGTTAACTTAGAGTTAGGCAGAAAATCTATTTTGTTTCATTTCTTGTTGAAAATTCTTTCTAAATATGCTAATTTATGACCTTAGGCTAAGAGCATCATTAAAATTTTCTTTGATAAATTAGAATATTAAAATGCCTTTGGGTAATCATTATATACCTTAATTCTCATCTTACATGACCATATATGCAAAAAAAAAGAAGTTTTAAGTTTGGATTGTATCTCTTTTCACTATATTTAGCCTTGGATGTTATTTTTGGATGAGAACAAATACATGATATATATTTTTATAACCTTAACATAGAAAGAGCCAGAATATGTACTCTACTTGTGTTTATGAATGCTTTCGTCACTTTCAGTTGAATATTGGCATAATCTTTTGCTACATAATTATTGGTAAAATTTTATTTCCATCAGAAATGTTGTATTTATAACTTTATTGGTATGTAAATGTATATAAATTATAATAATTTACCACATATAATATTTTTTTGTTGTTTAACCTTTGATTTAGCCTTTTCCCTCCTAACAGTTTCTGAGTTATATGTAGTTTCAAATTTGTAAGTTAACCTCTTTACCGCTGACATAATGCTTTTGTCTTTGTTGCTTTTTCAGAAGTTTCCACAAATAACAATACTTTCTAGAAAATATTAAGACAATAATCATGAACAGCAAAGACTTTGTAGTTCTTCCATGGGGAAAACCTGGACATTCTGTGAAGCTAAAATATAAGTAAGTGCATACATATTTACTTAGGGAGAAATAATTCTAAAGTTTTTGTATATTGTAACTGAAAACATTTTTACATAAGGCTGTTTAGAGTTGAACTCTAAATTTGTGAATTCTTATCTCTATTTTTTTCACAGCTTGTATGTTCATCTATAAGAGAGTTGGCCTGATAATAGTTTAAAAAGTAATGAATAAAATATTTATGCCCCAGGAATAGAAGGGAAACGTTATAAATGAAGGTTGTGCTTACTAACTATTAAAACTATAGCAGAAAGTTACAAATATTTTTGTGACACTTATATAAAGTAAAATAAAAAAGATATTTCTCTGAGAAAACTGAAAGAAACTAAAAATTAAGGAGACTATTAGGGTGAGTGACCTTTTAACAGGAAAAAGGAAGTCCTCACTAATTGAGCACTTTGTATGGTTAAAAGATGCTATGTTGAATTCACCTTTCTCAGAAAGAATACCTTCTGTCCTAGATTGCCTGGTAGATGCATTCAGCCAGAGCCAAGCAGCTCTGGGTATCCTGGGAATTTCATGACATGGCGGGGATGCTAGAAGTTCAGTATCCTGTTTGCCTTTGAGAGCATGTAGAGTCCCTGAAAATTCCCAAAATCTTCCTCTACAATTTCACTAAGAGCCAGCTAGCATAGGTTGGGAACAGACTGTGGGTTTTTAATTTTAATTTCTGAGTTCCCTAATCCAGATCAATGGTCCTATGGTATTCAATGTCTTCAGAGCTTTCCTAATTCTCCCTTTACTGTAAAAGCATTGTGTAACTAGAAAATGTGATACAAATTTATGGCGTTATCATGATAAGGATTCACATTGTTTTTTGGGGGGAGGGGAGATATGCAATTGCTGGTATTACCAGTTTCCCTTTATTCTGCTAAAAGAAAAGGGGATATGCATTTGATTTTAGTGATATGTTCCAAGTCTGTGTGTACATACCTATAAACATTCATCCAACAAACATTTATTCAGAGTTCTAGGAATGGTGGAAACAAAAGTAGGAAGTCATAATCTGTCCTCAGGTACCTTGTAGAGGATGTTAGTAAACAAAATTGTTCCTACAGTTCCAGGGGTTGGATATGTGCCCTTTTGGTATGCTCAGGTACCTCCCTGTACACCTCCAGTGAGCTCACCATCATACTGTATCTCAACTACACTCATGCTTGTCTGTGTTCCTCTCTATACTAGAAGCTCCATTGGGTCTCATATTCTATTACCTAATTTAGTGAGTGTATGGTATGTAGTAGGGGCTGAATTACGCTTGTAGAGCAGATATAATGAAAACAAGCCTTTCCCTCAGTATCCTTGCCAGCTTCCCTAAACCCTCTGGACAGCCTTTTCCTCTTGTCACTTTTTATATATCTCCCTGGATTGTGTTCATTTGGGGACACACCTTTGGCTCCCTTGCTCCTTGGTGACTCCTCACCATCTCTATAAATTAGTTCTCTTTCTGATTTTCATTATTCTTATTTTGGTTTCTTGTGATAGCATGTGTGGGTGCCCATGCTACATGATTATAGTAAACCACTCATGTAATACAGAAAGTAGAGATTTAAACTCATCATAGGTAATAAAAGATAGACAACAAGGTTAGCACCCATGGAAGAGTCAATGATATGCTGACTAGAGAATAGAATGTAAAATGAAGGAAATAGCTATGTCAAAAGCTTGGTGGGCTTCAGATATCATTATCAAATCTATAAGGGGGCTCTTGTTTAAAAAGTTATCTTCTTTTTGTTTTTCTTCAGAGGAAACAATTGGTGGTGCTTGTCTCAGTTCCCATTTAACCTTTTCGATGGGTCCTGTACCAAAACCCTAATAGGTGCTTTCTCCAAGCAGGCTCTGTTCTTTTTTTTTTCATATTTAATTTTTTTATTAGATATATATGACATAAAGATAGAAATTTACTGAAGATTTAGCAAAAGTATGTATTCTGCTTACATAGAAAAAGTGGTTATTTTAAACACTGTGATTCAAAAACACTTGAATCCTTAGAGAAAAGAGAGTATAAAATTTAAAAATAATTTTCCTTTGTTTTCTATTGTGTGCCATAGATATTTGTTCATATATAAAGGCATAGCTCACATATAAAGTGAATTATGATTTAAAACCTCAAGCAATGCAATGGGAAACATAAAAGTCTAAGATTTGCAGAGATACCTGCTTAAATAGAAAGTAAATGCTAACTTTAGAAACCATATTTTAAAGAACAAAGAAAGTAGTTAACATGCTTTGTCACTATTTATTACTCATAATTTTGCTTAAAAGGAAAAGTTGATATAAAATTACTTAGCTTTGATTTTGTTGGTTTATCCCAAATGAACATTCTGCCTTTAAATCTTATTCAGAAATTTCCGAGAACTGAAGATGGAGAAAGTACAGTTAGAGTTGGAGAACCATGAGATGGAAAAGAAACTACAAGAGTTCCAATCAACAAGGAGCAAAGACAGAGAAGAAAGAGAGTAGGTGACGTTTTTAGATAATTTCAGAGGAATAAACTGAATTATGTGAAGAACTATTTTATGTACTTTTGTCATTCCAATAAAGATCTGTCCTGAATGAATAATTTCTGGCTTTTCCTGATGATCAAACAATATTGAATTTCCCCTGTTTTTTTTTCTATTTGTGTTTCTTATATAAGACATGTTGCTTTTTGAAATCACCATTACTTTTGTATCTTCTGGACCTTATTTACTCTCACATGTTCTTATTTCTCTTCTTCTATTTTTCTTCTGAATCATTTATAGTCTAGAATTTTCAGGACATTAATACAGAACTTTCCCTTTGCTCCCCTAAAATTGCCATCAATAGGAGATTGCTAGTTTATGTTTAGAGTCATTATTATTTATTAAAAAACTTTAGGGGGCAGGTGTTTACATGTACATACACATATAAGAATTATTCAAGACCATGAGTATGTTTGAAATATTTTAAACCAGTATGCTTTAGCTGAAATTTTATTAAAAGAAAATTCAAATGTTTATTATAGTTTCAGTAGAATTTATCTTTATGTCTATCTCTTTGAAAAATATTGATGACACCTGCACACACCCTTTCTAATGACCAGAACATTGGTTTAAACAAGGCATCTCAATAGTGTATGTCACCCCAGCTGACAAAGTTTATTGTGTATCTTGCTGCTCTTCTCTTAATGATCCAATTACCAGTTTTATTTTTTGACACTTCACTGCTTTGGACTTCTCAGTGGTTCACAAATGTGTCTGTGAATGAAAGCTTCTGTAATCAGCCCCCAAGAGTCAGTTTTATTTAGCCGAGGAACCTTTTTTAGATATTTTTAAAATTGTTCTGAAGCTTGACCGAGTTTTCAGAAGAGTTAAATGCCTTACTGAGGTTACATGGATAGTAAATGTTGTCACCAGAATGAGAATGTGCCACTTACTGGTTAGGAAGTTAGAAGCCCAGTGTTCTCATCTTGGCTTTCTTATTCATTATCTGTGACCTTGCACAAGCTTTTGTCTCATTACTTTTTAAGTGGGAATTGAACTCCCTGCTCTGTTGACTTAAAAAAAATGTGAGTCTCAAAGGTACTTTGAAAACTAAACTGTAGAGCAAACAGTTTGCCTTCTTTGTACTATCTGTTACCTTTCACTGTGGGAGCTAATTTTAAGTTTTAATAAGGAATTAATCACTTAGTAGATCTGCTGAATATTTTTTATTATTGTTTTACTTCCTTTTCCTCTTTACATGTGTGAACCCTTAGCTTTTAAAATTGCATGACAATCTGTAAAACTTCCTATAAATCAGTCAAGCTATCTATAGTCATTATAATGTCCAAAAAAATGGAATACTTCATCTCTCTGGACATTTCACTTTTATTCATTTTATCTCAAAAGTTCCAAATATGGTAGAGCTATATTTCAGAATTACCGAGGATGCTGTGGCATTATTGATATTTCATTTTCATTTTGTGGTGGTCTGTTACATGCTAAAAACTGAATTTCCATTTCCTGAAATAGGACAAATATATTTGTTTTCATTAAAAGGAGAAATGTGTTTGGTTATTACATTTTATTTTCTCTTTATATGTATTGAAGGTCAAGTGACTATCACTGGAAATCTGGAAAAGTGGGAAAATTGGGTAATCAGTCACATATACTGTCACAAAATAGAAGAAATGTTATTAAGGTAAGAAAATACTATTTGATTCTCAAGCAGTTTGCTAAGCAATAATATATAAATTATGTTTTCGGGTTTTGCATTCCTCTCCATACTTAAGAACTTACTGTTCTTGTTTTAACAACTGCATGTTATTGGATTTTGATTAATTTTTTATAGGTTACATAGAACTTTCATATTCAGATATGTTTTTGTTTTCCATCTGCAAGTTGATTTTTAGAAAGTCACTTTGAGTTCAATTTTTTTAAACTAATTTTTCTCATTCAGTTCAGTTCTGGTTTCAAGTATGTGAAATAGAACAATGTGGTTCTATATGCAGGTTATTTGATGTAACAAAGGGACAGTTTTTTTCTGCCTTTTCATTATATTGCATTTGCTTAATATGTTGATGTTCTGCTTAAATAATAATTATCCATATCCTGTTGATTGTATATGTGAAGATACCCAAGGGAAAACTACTTACAGGTTTCCCAGCTATAGAATTACTTGATCTTTACTATCCTATATAATAAAAAGGTAATATGCAAATCTACTGAACAGTGGTATGACCAGTCGCTATGATGCACACTGACCACCAGGGGGCAGACGCTCAACGCAGGAGCTGCCCCCCAGCCTGCAGGCCTCAATTGTCCTATCTGGGTCTGCTGGCCAACCTCAGTCCCTTCCCCTGGCTGGCAGGCTCCAATCGCCCGGGAATGGGTGGTGGCGTGGGGGCAGGACCAGCAAGCTGGTGGGACTGGCCAACCTCTTGGTCCCTCCCCACGGCCAGCTGGCATTCTTTCCCTGGCCAGCTGGTATTCTTTCCTGCAGCCGAGACATAGGTTTGCCCACAGCTGCAGACAGTTGCTCCTCACTCCTCCCCACCTGTTCCCTGAAGGGGAGGGAGAAGCCTTCAGCAAGGTAGCAGGCGTTGGTTAGGTGGGTTGTTGAGGAACCTGTCTCCTGATGCTGCTGAATTCTAACCCCAATTCTAATACCATGTTCTCTGCTTAAAGCACCTGATCTTACCCTCCTCAGTGGTGATGCAACCTGAAAGCTAATGGGACCTTTTTGTGGGATAGGTTGTCATACCCCAGGACCCTGCAAGTAGAATCCTCCAGCGAATAAATGCAGTGAACCTTCAGGTGTGACCAGAATGACGCTGATAGTGCCATTGGTCCCCTAGAACTCTCTCGGGCATGGGGCCCACACCCCATCCCTTATCATGAAAGAAATTCCACACAAAAGCACCTCCTGTGAACAGGTCTCCACTGGGGGGATCACAGCCTCCTACACGGGCTCGAAGTATATCCTAGGCCGGGCCCACCTCAGGTACAAGATGGTGAATGTGGAACTGGAGGTGGGTGGTGGCAGGTGGCGGGCCAGCTGCCGGCAGCCAGGGAAGATGTTCTTGATCGCAGGCCAGGCCTAGGGACCGTACCTACACATGGATTTCATGCACTGGGCCTCTAGTGTATTATAATATAACATTGCATTAGATGTATGATTAAAGCCAGATGAGTGCCTTTCTATAAAGAAAACTGTTTTGCTTCTGAATTCTTTAGTACAAGATCCATGACTTTGTGAGTTTTAACTTATATAGCTTTTATTTTGATATACTTGTTATTAAACTTTCATTGGGCTGTTGGCATCTACAAACATGTTGCTTGGTGCTTCTAAACTTTTTGGCTTTGAAAAAGCATTTTATATTACTGAAATATGTATCTTTAATTTTTGGATTAATAGTTAATAACCCACCTTCTATTTTTTATTATCTTTCTGAGATATAGTGTTCCATGTTTTGGATGCTATTGCAAATATAATGTATTAAAAATGCTGACTCTGTGATTCTTATCTAATTCATTCTTTAGTATTTATTTTTATTCTTAAAATATATTTTATTGATTTCAGAGAGGAAGGGAGAGGGAGAGAGAGATAGAAACATCAATGATGAGAGAGATTCATTGATTGGTTGCCTCTTGCATGCCCCCTACTGGGATCGAGCCTGAAACCAGGCATGTGCCCTGGCCAGGAATCGAACTGTTACCTCCTGGTTCATAGGTCAATGCTCAACCACGGAGTCACACCAGCCAGGCTATTCTTTAGTATTTATTAAGTGCCTTCTTTGTCATGTAGTGAATTATCCTTGTTCTCCAGGAGATCCTCATCTAATGTGGAAGATAATGACATATAAAATATTTATAGAAAACATCAGTATGTAATTTTTGCCATAACTATTTAGTGTATAGCCATCTGTGCTTGAGAAATAATAGTTTAGTTCTGCAAATATTTGAAAGTCTACTAGATGTGTTTGTAAGAAAACAGTGATGAATAAATCATAATGCTAGTCCCCATAATCTTCATAATTGAGTCGAAGGATGAAAGCCTGGGGGGTTGGGTGCTGTAGAAGGTGGGTATATCAGGTGAGCTAGGACAGGAGGTAAAGTCTTAAATAACAGACTCAGGCTTCTTGATTTTTTTCATTGGATGAATGGAATTCCCTGACAGCTTTGGAGCAGGAGGATAGCAAGATTAAGGTGATGCTTTCTGATGGTTGATTTTGTTCAGATATCCAGTGCATTTTAAGTTTATAAATATAGAGCGAATGATATCCAAACTGTTTTGATCATGCATTACATTAATAAAGAATATATTTTGAGCACAGCTTTGTGCCCATGAACTCTTTATTTATAAATAGAATTCAATTGCATATATGTATATATGTGCATATATGTATATATATATTTGTTTATTAATATATCATGTATATTATAAAGAAAAATATGGATATTAATCAAGGATAATATGAACATAAATAGATGTTTCTTTGGTTTTCTCTGCTCTCTTCCTGAGCTCCCTCAGATGTGCATACATGCTACTTTGGAAGCCAATGGTATAGAGGCAGAGAAATCTTTAAAAGAATCTAGAGATTCTAATGAGAAGAGTCTAACTTAAAATGTAGCAGAAAAATTACAAAGGATATATGGAACTAAAAAAGCAGTGAGAAAGGAAAGGAATAAATCAAATATATAATTGATATTGCAGCCTTAGGAGATAGAATAAAGAAAGGAGTTAGAAAAAGAGTTCTGGGGTATTGACTTAGAACTTCTTCTCTCCCTCTCTCTCCCCCTTCCTTCCTTTCGCCCAGCTTTATTTAGGTATAATAACAAAATTGTAACATATTTTAAGTGTACAATATGATTATTCAATATACATATATGTTGTAAAAGTACCCCCTGCCATGCTGAATTAATTAATAATCTATCACCTCACATATTTCTCTCTCTCTTTTTCTTTTTGGTCAGAACATTTAAGTTCAACTCTTTTAACAAATTTCAGAGATTTAGAGTTTTTATTTGATTTAGGATATTTTTTCCATTGATTTTTAGAGAGAGTGGAAGGGAGGGGGAAAGACACAGAGAGAGAGGGAAACATTGATGTGAGAGAGACACACTGATTGGTTGCTTCCCGCCCCAACTGGGGCTTGACCAGAATCAAACCCTTGACCCTTCAGTCCATGGGCTGATGCTCTAAACACTGAGCAAAACCGGCTAGGGCAAGATTTAGAGTTTTTATTTGAATTCTCATGTGTTCGTAGAAGCTGAGCTGAGAGAGTAAATGTGGTTCCTAAGAATCTATAAAAAGCAGAACAAAGGTATAAAGGATAAAGCTCAGGAGGGGCAGGTGTGAAGGGTAAAGCTCCAGGTATATGGAGGCAAAGGGAACTTTAATATTTACTCGCTATCTGTTTTACACCAGTCAACAGTTGCTTTGTCTGTTTTATCTCATTAAGTGCTTATATCACTCTTAAAAGGCACTGGTTATTTTTCTAGTTCCACAGATGAAGTAATTTAACATCAAATGAGTAACTTGCTCAAGGTCAAGCATCAGGGCCAGGATTTGAAAGGCAGGCTTGCAGGCTGGCTCTAAGATAATTCGCCAGCTCTGCAGTGAAGGGAGCCTGAGAAGAGAAAGAACATTGGGAGTAGAATCAAAGTAATGTAATTTCATAGAAGGGGAAAGTGAAGGAGGGTGGTTTTAGAAAATATGGAGAAATCCACCTTGTCTGATACATTGTGTAATGGAAAAGTTTTGAGTCTACTTTTAGACCAGTGTTTCTCCCCCTCACCCAAAAGACACAATGTTTGGAGACATTTGAACTCTCATTCGCCAATGAGAGTTCTTGGTTTGTTTGTTTATTTGTTTGTTTTGCTAATGGTATGTAATGGCTACAGGCCAGGAATGCTGTTATACATACTACAGAATAGGACAGCTCTCTTAGCAAAGAATTATTTTGGCCAACATCAAGAAACCCTGTTTAGACTCAATTCCTCACTCATTTCATTAGCTTTGTGATTTTCCGGCAAGTCATTTGACCTTTCTGAGTTTTTGTCACTATGTTTGTAAACATGCATAATGATACTTGTTAATTACTTCGCAGAGTCTTTAGCAATGTGTGAGATACTAGGTGTGAAACCAATTGTAACATCGACTGAAAATCACATTGAAATGTCTATTTATGGGGAATGAAAATTTCTAGAAACACTGAATTTGGTTTGATGATTGGGTCATTATTAGATGTAGAGATGAGTCAGTTTGTAGTTGAGAGATAAATTCGCAAAATGGAGTAAAGATTAAAGATGCAAATGAGGAAAGTGCCAGTTTCTGGGGGGTGTCATCTTTGAAGAGGCAGCGCAGTAAGGGAAGAAGAATGCATTTTTTCTGAGACCAGAAAGATGGAAGGGCAAACAGGTGGAGGTAAAGGTAACATTTTAGAGGTTTTGTTTGACAAGGGGGTGAGGCAGAGGAAGCTGTGGAACACTGCCTGGGAAGACCTCAGCATTCTTAGTAACTTTGAAGGTAAAGTCATCTGCCCAGATTAAGGAAGGGAAATGGGGTGAATTTAATTTTTTGGAATGGAGAAGGTTTGGCGTATCCACTGTGGGAATCTTGATTGAGGGTTAGCAGCAAATGAATACATGGATTGCTGAAGAGCCGTAAGAGCTCACTGGGGTTGTTCAGCATGGATTTATAAGGGACCTGATTAGTATTATGTCATCACAGAGGTAGGCAGGTATGGGGGTTAAGAGGAAGGAAGTAAGGTGATCGTGGTTAGCACTGCGGAACTCTGAGTTTGAAGGATCAGCCATATGGATTGCCACTTAAGTTCAAGGTTTGGTCATAATGGTCAAAGAGACATTTAGATGCTCATACTTGTCAGTATGTTGGAGGGTTTCAGCTTTAGGATGTCAGTTGAACATGGATATTGTAGTCTCCTCGATCATTACCCAGAAATATGATGGAGAGAAATACTGGGTAGATTGCTGATATTCTGGTGGACAGAGATCCTAGATATTAATAAAGGCAGTAAGTGGGTGGGGAGAACTTTTAGTAGAGGCAGAATGATGACAGCACTAAGGAGCAAACAGGGAAAAAAACACTTTTCTTCTGGTGAGTGAAAGGGAGTAGAAATGTACCTAGTTCCTCCGGAAAGTTCTGTGGAGGAGGTTGTGTCAGAGGAAAGGTGAGTCCAGATAATGTGAACTTTTGGAAGAGAGATTTTTTGAAAGATTTAAAGCATAAGATAGTTAAGTGACTCTCTCATAAGGGCTCCATGGAATAGCAGAGGAGCCTAGAAGGACAAACAGTAGAGAATGGCAAAGGTCAAATAGCTAATTGGATTAAGAATATGTGTAAAGGTGGCTCGTGGGAGGATTGTGGGCCCAGCATGGCAGATGAGGGCATTGAAGGGAGTTTGGAGGAATCTGCGAATGCCAGGGAGGCCATTGATGACAGCACAGTCTGACCCCAGTTGTCCACCTGGCATGTCTGTGTGGTAGAGCCACTAAACTGCCCTGATCCCTGACGGCACCTCTTCAACATCTGCTGGTGGAAGGTAAGTGGGTTAATAAGGCATAGGCTTTATTGTATTGAATTTCAGTTATTTAGATATACATATATATATGCATATACATATAGTTATATATTTGTACATGCATGTGCATATATGCATGTGTGTGTGTGTGGGGGGGGGGGTATCGCTAGTCCAGCCCTACTCCACCCTCAATGCTTCCTCAAACAGATAAAAACCAGACTTAGGAAGCCCTGGCCAATGTGGCTCAGTTGGTAGAGCATCACCCCATGCACAAAAAGGTCACCAATTTGATTCCCAGTCAGGGGAAATGCCCAGGTTGTGGGTTCCATCCCCAGTTGGGGTGCATACAGGAGGCAAACGATTGACATTTCTCTCCCACATCAATGTTTCTCTCCCTCTCTCTCTAAAATCAATAAAAATATATTTTAAAAAATCAATCTTAGGAGGAAATTCTATTTGCCTGAAAATAGCAGCTAGAAAAATATTTCATTGAAATATTTTTTATTCAGTTTGAGTCATTTGAAATTAGTATGACCATATTATAGAGCAGAAAAATATTCTTTACCATACTAAAAACAAAGGATAAAATATCCCTAATAATAGCTTCGGTTTGCTTTAGCAAATCCTCTGCCCAGGTAGCCTGTAACCACATTTATCATGTTACAATTCAGACATATCATTAAGGTAGAAATATTGGATACTTTGGTTATAAACATGAGATTAATTTATCTGTAACTTTTACAATATTACAAGTTTAAAAATAAAAGTTGTATTCACTAAGAATTGATTATTTCAATCCCATTTTCTTTTTTGCTGTGTTGGTACATAGCATCTGAGTAGCTACTTAAAGAACGTGAATAACAAATGCCCTTTTGAAGCAAAACCACTAGCTTCATTGAGAATAATTAGGCCTAAATTTTCACATGACTGTGGTTGGTTGGTACAGCCATCGACATAGAGGCAACCATTGTTCCCATGTTCTCATGTACAAATTGGGCAATTGAGTTTGCAAATTGCAAATTGAAGAGTAGGCATGAACTGACACTGTCTGTGTAGCTGTGCACGCTCCTCCATGTTTTCCTGTGTACTGCCAATGTTTGTTTTAATGACCAAGGCAAGTATGTGCAATTGGCCAGTCTGTGTTATATAGTTAAGTCATAAGATCCCAGGATTTTAAGAGAATATTCATCTGAAATACCTAGCAGTTAGTCTTATTTACCCTTTTTTCCCCCCTACAATTGGGAAAGTCAAGGATCACAAATAATACATTTGGAGGTTAAGTCTATGATGCTTAAATATGTGGTTCTCTAAATTGGTCAAATAAGATAATAATATTGGCTCCTACAGTATATAAGCAGAGTAGCTCAGTCATAATTCAACTTAGATCCAGTCTATGCAAATATTAGACTTTGTGTCTTTTAGAAAGATCAGAGCTAGAAAAGCTTTTATAATATTTGAATAGCAGTGCTTTCCTAAAATCATTTGATGATATATAATGATATTTGTCTAACATAAGATAATTTAGTCTCATTAATAATATATGGTGTTTTAAAAGACTGTTTTTATGTATTTCCAAAATTTATTTTCTTTTTTATAAATTTGTATCAACTTAATTACAAGGTCTACTTATGCTATAATGAGGGTCTATTAATTTTATATTATTCTTTCAAAACATCTGTTTTGTTCAAGATGCACCAAAATTTTATAACTTTCTGGTATTTTTGGTAATGACTTAAACTTTCTTTGAATAAGAGAATGTATACCTAACAAATAGTATCTATTTCATTGATATAGCTTTCTCCTGGAAAAGTGAGATTAAAATTACTGAAGGAGAAGTTTCAAGGTAAATAGTTTACCATTGTATTATTAGTTGCTACAGATATAATTTCTTTTACATTTGAATTACATAGAAAATAAAAGTGCTAGAATTGTTTATGCAATATAAAGATTCAAAACCCTCAAATGATGACTCTCTATCTTTGATACTCAAAATAAATTTTACATATGCTTGTTTGTAGTGGAGGGGGGATTAGTTTATCTATAAAGAATAGCAACTTAGAATATGATTATAATATAGTATTTTTCATAGTGAGGACTTTCATAGCACTGGTCCTTAAAGTTTATTAATGTAATCTTTTAACTAGGATAATAATTTGGCAGTATAAATTATAAATTAAAATTTACTCTAGGAAATTAAGGTAATATTGAAAAATTCATTTATATTTTAATATATTTTGACAACAAAAACCTAAATCAATATTGAATATATAATAATTCCAAATAAAATAAGACTTTTTAATAGAGGACAAACACATTTGATTTGAATGGCTAAGATGATTTGGCAGAACAAGTTCTAGAAATGTATAACGTTTAGTATAGAAGATGTTCTGTGTGGGCTTCAGTTTGATCTGGAGCTGTGACAGAATGCCACAGGTATTCTATCAAGAGCATAGTTTTTTAGTGTGTGTTTTTAAAATATATATATTTTTATTGATTTCAGAGAGGAAAGGAGAGGGAGAGAGAGAGAGAAACAATCAATGATGAGAGAAAATCATTGATTGGCTGCCTCCTGCACGCCCCACACGGGGATCAAGCCTGCAACCCAGGCATGTGCCCTGACCTGGAATTGAACCGTGCCCTCCTGGTTCATAGGTCTATGCTCAACCACTGAGCCACACCGGTCAGGCAAGAACATAGTTTTTAACACTTACTACATTCTATAATTGTACATGCCCAGTTTAAGTGAATTTTAAGCAGAGTGGATATGGGTGAATATGTGTGGCCCTATGGTCACAGGAAGGGGACTGTGGGCTCCTCAGCCTACTGGGAGTGATTAGTCTGACTTTTTTTCCCCTTCCAGAGCCAGTGAGACAAGCTCTTAATTATCAAATGGCAAATTTTTCTGAAAGAGAGAAGCCCAAGATAAGAGGGAAGGTTTGTGGGCAGTGTGAGAACAAAGCCGCTCTGCTGGTACGTACACTCTACTGAGATACGGGAATAGAACTTACACGTGGTCTCAGATACTTGCCCTGCTTTGGTAGCGACGTACTTTTCCTCTGTGACTCTTACTGTAAGTGTGCACGCTGTGCACCTTAGGATGAGTGTGCCTGCTGCCGGGGAAGGCCCACAGGGCACTGAGACGACGCCTCTCACTCCGGGTGAGGCACTACTTGAACCTGCCCTCTCTGCCTTGGTGCACACACACACACACACACACACACACACACACACACAACAACATCTTCCACTTACAACCCAAACCAAAACTGCAGCAGACATCCTCCTTTGACCCCCACATCTCCCCCTGTGCCCCTTTTGGTAACACTTGAAGAGTTTGTTAACTTGCTGTCATCATACTCTCTCCTCTCGTTCTCTCTTCTCTTCCTCTCTTTTAATTGAGGCATATTTTACTTACTGTGAAGTGGAAAGATCTTAAATGTGTAACTAGATACCTTCCGATAAAGGCCTGCAATCCCAGCAAGATAACAGAATGCCCTCGCAGGTTTCCTTTGCCTTTTCCAACTCATCCCCACCGCAAAGGCAACCACTGTTGTGATTTTTAGCACCTTATACTTAGTAGTGCCTGTTCTTGAACTTCATGTAAATGGAATTAGAAGGTATATACACAGGGGTGGGCTAAGGAGGTTTACAGGTGTGAGTAAACAACACACAGAGTTTATTCTTGTATTATTATATATTTATTTATTATTAACCTACTTTTGCTTACCCCTGTGTATATAAATATTTTTTGTGTGTGTAAGTTTTGCTCCATGTGGAGATTCATTCATGTTACATTTATCAGTAGTTTGTTCATTTGTATTGCTGACTAGTATTCCATAGTATAGAGATACCAAGATTTATTTGTTTGTTCCCGTGTTGAATGACATTTCGGTTGTTTCTGTTTTTTCCCCCATTACGTCTATGGCTGCTGTGTACATTTATGTGCAAGTCTTCCTTCCTCCCCCCGATGATATTTATTCTTTCTTTCCTTAAAAGTTCTAAAGCAAACTTTAAAAAAGCCCCCCAAATAATGCTTTCTGACAGCTCTCTAACTTTTCATTGGTGTCAATTTCATGAACTTTAAAAAAATTATCATAATTTAAAAGTTCCCATCTTAGCTATTTTAAATGCTCAGATCTGTGGCATTAAGTATTCACATTGTCTGAACATGCAGACATTTAAAAATATTGGCTTTTATTTGATTGCAGGTTTTATCATTTTTTAAATAAATGAGTAGTATTGCAATCAATGATAATAATTGACTTAATGATTAGTAAGGTGGGCTGTGCTTAAAAGCTTAAGCTTTGAGCCAGAATGTGGGGTTGAAATTCTGGCTCTATTAATTATGTTACTTGACAAATTCTTAATCGTTGTGTTCTTAATCACCTTCACATTGGAGATACAATGGTCATTGTCACATTAGAGAGTTGTTGTGAGGATTAAATGAGATGAAACATGTAAAGCCCTTAGAACAGTGGGCAAATGCTCACTAAACATTGTGAATATTGTTCTTGATTCTAGCCTTTCTTTTTAGTTTCATTATAGTTACATATTTCTTACTCTCTCAACCTTTTTGTAGTGTTGGCCTAGTCATTTTATATCTGATAAATCTGTCTACATTATTGTAGGTAACTATGTCATCATATGGGGACTTATAATACAATTTTTAAAAAATGGACATAAAATGTCTATTGAATTTTTAATAAGAGCTTAGTCTACTTTCCTATGTTTTATACATTCTAGTGCCTTATTACTCAGTGCATGCAGCGGAGAGCTTGGTATCACCTGGGAGCCTGTTAGAATACAGCATCTCAGGTGGCATTTCAGAATTCTTGAACCAGAGTCTGCATTGCAACAAATTCCCAGGTCATCCATGTGCCCGTTACAGTTTGAGAAGCATCACTATATTGCACATTTCAGCCCACCATCGGCCAGTACAAGGCAGAAGAGATTGGTCCACCTCTCCCCAATCTGCCCCAAATGCTTTAGGCTTACAGTTCCCTGATAAGGGAAAGAGCAAGGAGGGGGAGAATGGTGGAGGGCACCATAAAGGGAGGAAATGAAAGAGAGTCAAAGGGACAGTGAGCTCCTTGACATAATTTCTGGAACCATCTTGTCATGATTTCTTATTTGCACAACGAGTAGTTCTTAAAGTGGGCCGACTCAAGGACATGAGGGATTCTAGCCATTTTCACTGCTTTTGTCATAGTGGTAAGAGTGTTGAAATGACTGTACAACTGCATGGTAGTACTTTCAATTGCAGTAAAAATTCCATTTTCTTTTCTCTTCACTTTCAGTCTTGCTTGGTACCATTATAGATACAAGTACCTCACATTTTACAGTTTATCCCTAAACTTAAAAATTACATTTTAACACATAAAGAATTTGAAAGATAAATGTATACTTGTCCATAATCATTTCACCAATCATACACGTTGCTGACATTTTGAGGCAGTTCTATCCATATTTTTAAAAATAATTTTGTTTGGGGAATCTTCTAAAAATACTTTTAAAACCATATTTGGAGAAGCATCAGTGAAAGAGTACATTCAAGGAAGTGCATGGGGCCTTTTAGAGGCAAATTGTATGCATACCGTTTGAAACTAAGTGTACCCTGTTAATCCATAGAGAAAAATAAAAGAACTAACATTGGAGTAGTCTTCACCCAGAGATAGTGCTGTGTAGTTTTTACCAGGTTAAGAAGTTTGACCTGATGCTGCCTACTGTTTTATGATTTATTAAAAAAATGTTACATACATACATTCATCTAACACACATATAAAACATTCTAGCTAGTATAGTTATTTTGATATGAGAGTAATTTGTTTACAAATTAGTTTTTCTGAGTTAAATCTTAACTGGGACAAATGGTTTTCCCAGTTTCCTTGGACTTCACTATAGGTATATAATGGAAGAAATAAATATAATAACAATAACATCTTTACACAAACATTTTAACAAAGTCATATTATAAGATTGTGTTTTTGTTTGTTTTGTTTTTTTCTAATTAAATATCTTTAAGGTATGTCTTGAGTGTGGAGAAGATTACTGTTCAGGATGCTTCGCTAAAATTCACCAGAAGGGGGCACTGAAGTTCCATAGAACAACTCTTTTGCAGGTATGACTTTAAAATGCTTTACTGGTAGTGTATTTATAGAACATTTCTACACAAAGACATTTAAAACATGCTTAATTATCGAGAATTTAGGATGATTTACACTAATTTCTAAAATTATATTATGAACAGACAGTCTTTACATACTTGAAATTATTTTACTGAACACTAATCTGAATTCTATTTTGCTATTTAAACTGTGTTTTAATATAGTTCCTAAAACACTTACCTTGATTAGAATTTTTATATTATGCATTCTATCTGTGAATTTGACATTTAAAAATTAGACCATATTTTTAAATATTGTTTTAATTGAACACATGATTTAAGTATTATTTCTATCTAATTTATGTTTAACTTTTTATGTTTAGTTTAAAAATTATTCTTTTATTTGTCCTCATTATTATGTAAATAAGCTTATCCCTCAGGTTTCCCCCTATATATTAGAAGCTCTTATTTATTTTCATATAGTCATTGTTTTTTGAAATGCCTAAATTCAAACCATGTGAGCTGGTCTTAAAATTCTCATAATTAAGCAACAAATATGGTTAAATGTAGATATGACATTATATGATTTACTAGAGGCCCAGTGCATGAAATTCATGCAAGGAGCTCGGCCCTTGCAGCCCTGGCTTCGTCCAGAAGGTCGTCTGGAAGGACGTCCTGAAGTTTGTTCGGCTGTCTGGTCTAATTAGCATATTATGCTTTTATTATTATAGATATTTAATGATGCCTTGATTTGCCATAAATTTCATTCCTTTGACAACAAATATTCATTGAGTACCTTTAGGAAGCAGTGTCTGTGGTAGGCAGTGACCTTGCACAGATGAATATCACTAGGATCCTGCTCTTGGACCTGGAGATAAAACTGAGAATCAAGGAACTTGCAGTGGTTCTCAACCTGTGGGTCTCGACACCTTTGGGGGTCAAACAACCCTTTCACAGGGGTCGCCTAAATACATCCTGCATATCAGATATTTACATTATGATTCATAACCGTAGCAAAATTACAGTTATGAAGTAGCAACAAAAATAATTTTATGGTTGGGGGTCACCACAACATGAGGAACTGTATTAAAGGGTTGCGGCATTAGGAAGGTTGAGAACCACTGGGTTAAGGATTTTATTATTTCTTAGAGGCAAAGGGATGGGGATGATTGGATTCATATTTTGAAAGATCACTGGTAGATTTAAATCTTTACATTTAAGAAATATATATTTTTATTGATTTCAGAGAGGAAGAGAGAGGGAGAGAGAGATAGAAACATCAATGATGAGAATCATTGATCAGATGCCTCCTGCATGACCCCTACTGGGAATGGAGCCCACAACCCGGGTATGTGCCCTGACTGGGACTCAAACCGTGACCTCCAGGTTCATAGGTCGACGCCCAACCACTGAGCCACGCCAGCTGGGCTTTACATGTTTCTTGAATATAAATATCGGTAGCTCTAAAAACCCAAGTCATGATAACTGCAAAACCTAAAATTGATCTTACTCATATTACTCATATTAATATTTGTCAATGTCAATTACTTTCAAATGGCTACTCCATGTTTGGGTCATCCAGGTAGAAATGCAGAAATGATGGAGGGAACAGGACAAAGAAACAAAAAACAAACCCACCCAACTCCCTGTTATTCTCACCCCTCAGGTTGGTGCAATTGAACTGTCATAAGAAATAAAGGTTGATATATATAAAAGTGAGTGTAATCGCTAACATGGAAGTAGTATAGAATTTAACTAAAGACACTCCACTTTAAGGGGAAAAAGTATAATTACCCCACTATGCGTTTATGTTAGGAACTTTCCATTCAATGATTTATTCAGTACTTGGTATGGAAGATACAGAGAGCAATGAGACATGGTTTCCCCCTCAACTTCAGGAACTGGCCCTCCCAATTTAAATCTGATTCTCTTCTCTCTTTTCTCTCCCTCCCTCCCTCCCTTCCCTTCTCTCCTCTCTCTCTCTCTCTCTCTCTCTCTCTCTCTCTCTCTCTCTCTCTCCCTCTTCCCCCCCCCCCCATGCACACACACACATACACACATGGGGAGAGGGAGGAGGAAGGAGAGGGAATATACATTTGAATAGATTTTAACCTTTGTTAAATAATTTTCTGCCAAGTAAAATGCACGAGTGAAATTACTAAATTATCCTGCTTTCTCTCCTTGTTTCCATCCTCTCCCCTGTCTTTCTCTATGCGTTCAGCGTCAGGATGCTCTTGTGCCTTGGCCTGATGACCATGGCTCAGCGATGAGCGGATATCTCTTTCTGTCTATCAGTTATTATTAACCAGTCATAGAGTGTTTTTGGTTTTCGCCCTTTTGGTACCATCAAAGCCATAAGAGATTTTTTATTGAGTGCTGAATTCATACCTAATCTGAGACTTTAGGGTGGACATTTTAAGGGATTAAGCAAAGAAAAAAAAGAAAAACTCAGACACAGACAACAGTATGGTGATTGCCAGAGGGGAGGGGGATGGGGGAAAGCACAAAAAGGTAAAGGGGGGAAAATGGTGATGGAAGAATACTTGAACTGAGGTGGTAAACACACCCTACAAGATACTGATGGTGTATTGTAAAACTGTATACCTGAAACCTGTATAATTTTATTAACAATTGTCACCCCAATAAATTCAATTTTTTTAAAGAGTAGAAACAAAAACAAAGTAACAAGTGTTGGTGAGGATGTGAATACATTTGGTGGGAAAGTATTTGATTGTCTAACAAATATGCTGCACACCTGAAACTAATACAAAATAGGATGTAAACTGGCATTGAAAATTAAAATAAAAGAAAGAAAACACGGTGTAGCCATTATGGAAAACAATATAGCAGTTCCCAAAAAAATAAAAATAAAATTACTATATGAGGGGAAAAAAAGCATTACTATATAAAAAGCAAGCATTCTAGGCTAATGGCTGCTATACTTTATCTTTTGAACCTAGTTATTATAAAGCATAGCCAAATTTGAGTATTGTAAATCATTTGACCTCCATCTTCTAGCCCAGTGAGTCTGTATGAAGTTCACCGTCAATAAGTACCATTTTGTTCTGTCATATCTTGTTTTACTTACAAGAAAAATCTCTGAAAAACTGAAAGCAAACTATTACCATTTCCATATTGACTAACATGATAATTTCACAGGGCCTTTCTTTTGACTTATGATTGATTTAGACTTGGCAGTGAGCTTGACACAAGTTTATTTTTACCTCTCAGACTGTTAAATAATTACTTATCTGAAATATAAAGTGTAAATGTGCAATGGGAATTACTAAGGATGAAAATTCTACTTCTATATTTAGAATGATTTTCAACACTAATGGTTTAAAAAAGATGATTGTAGTGGGTGAGCCTATTATTGATAGAAAATAGTTCTTAATATAACAGGAATGTCTATTTTCTTTAAACAATATATAATCAAACAGAAGAAACAAGGTTAATCAGAGATAATGGAAGATAGGAGAAAAACAAAAGGCATTTTGATGTGAAGTATGACATATACAAAGGGAGGTTGGATTAAACAAATCATTAATATATTCTGGTATGTATATTTTCTTAATTGGAATGGAGATTTCCTTAAATGGAAAGGAGCGATCTTGGGAAGTGGAGAGGTGAATAAGAATAAATAACTGAGGTAGAACTTCTATGTTTTCCTGCTGTGAAACATTTATATTCAGCCTCTTTACGTTTTTATTTTCAAATAAAGGTATGCCTATGTAAATATGGCTATCAGTGGGAATATCTGCTTGCTTGAACATACCTACAGGAAAGTAATTATCAGGAAGAACCTCAGTTATTACAGTACAATTTATGCTTACTGACTTTATGGTAGAGTTTTTTCTTTTAGTTGACAATAACCAATATTAGCTTATGGACTCACATTATTATCATTATTCTGTTACCGTTTAGAATAATACTATATTTTCATTTTATTTATTTTTATTTAGGTATAATTTACATAATATATTAGTTTGAGCTGTACAGCATAATAATTTAATATTTGTATCTATTGCAAATGACTATCTAGTTAACATTTGTCATTATACAATTCCAAAAAATATTTCTGTTGCGATGAGGACTTTTACGATCTACTCTCTTAGCAACTTTCAAATAGACAATACAGTACTATTAACTATAGTCACCACGCTGTGCATTATATTGCCATGACTTATTTGTTATATTTTCGAATCATAGCTAGTCATTTTGGATAATATGGTTACTTAATTGGATGACCTTATAGTAGCCCATTTTACTACTTATTTACAAGAGGCCTGGTGCACGAAATTTATGCATGGGGGTGGGGGCCCTCAGCCCAGCCTGCACCCTCTCCAATCCAAGACCCCTCAGGGGATGTCTGACTGCTGGTTCAGGCCTGACATCCCTCTCACAATTTGGGACTGCTGGCTTCTAACTGCTCACCTGCCTGCCTGCCTGATCGCCCCTACTGGACCCCTGCCAGCCTGATCACCCCTAACTGCCTCTGCCTGCCAGCCTAGTCACCCCCAACTGCCCTCCCCCCCCGCCAATCTGGCCTGGTTGCCCCCAACAGCCCCCCTCTGCTGGCCTGGTCGCCCCTAACTTCCCCCCTGCAGGCCTGGTCACCCCAAACTGCTCCCCTGTCAACATGGTTGTCCTTAACTGCAACCCCCTGCCAACCTGGTCACCTCCAACTGCCCCCTCTCCGCTGGCCTGGTTACCCCTCACAGCCTGCTGTTCAGTCGTTTGGTCATCCCTCACTAACCCCACTGCTGGCCTGGTTGCCCCATGCAGCCTGCTGGTCAGTTGTTTGGTTGCCCCTCACTGCCCCCCCGCCCCTCCCCCCCACAACCCCATGCTGGCCCGGTCGCCCCCCAGCTTCCTGCTCAGTTGTTTGGTCATCCCTCACTAACCCCCCTGCTAGCCTTGTCGCCCCACTCAGCCTGTTTGGTCTTCCGTTCAGTTGCGATGGTCCCTGGCTCTTTATATATATAGATTTTTAATTTTTAAAAATTCATTATAGA